GTGACAAAGTATGAGCCTTTAACTATTTTTCACAGGGAAAGTAAAAAGAAAGAAAGCAGCACCTTTGGATTAGATAACCCCTCTACCCCCAGAAACATGTAATAGACAAAAGAAATACATTAGCACTTACTTCAAACATAAATTTATGCTCAAGTCAAAATTACTAATTTAACTGAAATACGAAAATTGAATTTACGAAGCTATTTACAATAAATCAGAAATGAATATGAATTATAAATAATTATATTTGGGGAATTATTTTCTCCATGGGGGATTTTTATCTGGCCATGTAGTGCGTTTCGTTTCGGAAGGATTTCGTATTTAGGTACGCCTGATAGACTTAACAAACCGATAAAAGTTTGAAAAAATTCTAACACTAAAAATCTTATTTTAAAAACTTTATAATTTTTTTATTAAAAAACTATAAAAAACTTTCTTTCTGAGAAAATTAGTAGGAATAGTAAGCTTTTTGCATTAATTTGATATTTTGGTGAATGTGGTTGTGGTAAAGCGATTAGTTTTGCCTTGGCGCGCAACGGTTTCCCCCTTCAGTGTAGCGTACGCAAGCGCAGACCTCTTCCAGCAGTACTCGTGAGATCATGGCGACTCCGGCCAAAGTTACTAAAGCGGAGGGAAAAAATAACCATGAAAATGCCGATGAACAGGCTGGTAAGTGTGAAGAAAAGTATTTATTTCTTTTACATTAATTTAATGATTGTTTGTATCATTTTTACTTAATTATAGCATGAAAAAATTAACTATTTTTTTTCTTAAAGCTAGCTAGGCAGTCATAGTTGCATTGTTAAAGAAGCACATGTATCTTTTTTTTTTTTAAGTTAGTGTATGAAAATCATCACGCTAAAAAAATCTTTTCTACCTATAAATCTTGAAAACTACCATTTACAGCCATAAAGTATCAAATTACGTATTTGAATGCATACACTCGGCACAGGACAAGATTTTTAACTACTTTTAGCGTTCTATAGAAATACTTTTATTGTTTACTGCCGTACATTAGATGACCGCCTATGTAAGACGAATGAGAACGAGGCGATCGTCGACCTCTTCATTCAAAACTACTTAGGTCTTTCTTTCTATCTGAAAGAAACGCTTACCCTTTTTTCTCAATAATTCCCCCAATACTTAAAGCTTTTTATCTTATTTGTAATATCAGTATGATGTTACTTGCATCATTTTCTCCAGACACAAGGGTAACATGGATAATCGCCATTTGCAATCTATGATATACCATGTACCATGCCAGTTGTACTGTTTCCACAGTTTAACTAAATATGCATATAGACGTTACTTTTTTTTTTTTTTCTTTTTTTCTTTTTTTCCTCTGGGTGTTTTCTTTTTTCTAAGTTGATTTGATATTAATATCAACTGATTAGAGAAACCGTTTAATTACCTTTGTCGGTACGGAGAAGCGGGGGGGAAAACTGAAAGTTGTAATTCTAGTCCGTTCCCGGCGAAACGTGGTTAAGACTGCATGACCGGAAGTTGTAGTACTGTGGTAGAGCATGTGCTCAGATTTGAATTCATTACGCTTAACAAATGGCCTCAGTGTCTTTCTTTTTATCGAGGCTTCTTATCCCTTTTTACTTAAATGTTTATTTTTTCTTCTTTTTTGTGCTTTTTTTTTTTTCTTCTTTCCATTCTTGAACATCACCAATAAATGACTTTCTGTGTTCTTTTACACAGATTGTTTAAACCTTAATGCCAATCTTCTAGGTATTGTTCGAAGAACTATTTCAGATAAAAAAAATCTTGCTGAAATTAAGTAAATGGCCATGTAAAGAGAACTTCAGATATAAAATTCTGAAACTATTGTAAAATTGCATTTATTTTTTTTTTTTTCTAATTTTTTCTTAGGAATGGTTTGTAATAGTCATCTTTTTTCTCCTACGTAAACTTCATTTAAGACTGCTTCATGTAGCAGGCTCCTCCACGTGGTTACGTTCAATTTTCTTTGTTCTATTGGCAATTTTGAGTTTTCGTATCACGCGTAGATTTATTAGAATTTAGACCTAATTTCTCCCTGAAGGTCTCGATCTGAATATTATAGGGGTTTCTTTAATAGATTTTTTTTCTATTACTTGTAACGTCATATTCGCAAGACATTCTTATCTTGCTGATCTTTAACTGGAACAGCATTAGTATTGAACGTCTATAAGGAGTTATCCCATTCCCAAAAATTAAATGTGAATTTAACAATGCCTCATGCACTATTTTTCCCTTTTTAGTTAACTAATTTTAAATGTTTCGTTTTGTAGATAAGGATTTTTTTTTCTATAACGTAAAATTTGAAGTCACTGGTGATTCTGGAAATTGTATCCTTGGACGAGGTTTTTTATTTTTTAATTTAATTTGCTATGTCTGATCTTTATGCAAAGAAATATTCTCAGTCTTGAATTGATCGGTCGATGATTTGAAATTTGAGTTGCACTTGTGTATCTTCAAACTTGTTTTCAATTTAGTAATTATTAAGTATTTCAGAGTCGTTTGGTATAAATGAATATGAATGACTCTTTTGTTTAAAGAAAATATTGAAGTCTTTTGTCTTTACAGATAAAGAACAGCAGGAGGCAATAGAGCAGATAGATGAAGTCCAAAATGAAATAGACCGGCTAAATGAACAAGCTAGCGAAGAAATTCTGAAAGTAGAACAGAAATATAATAAACTACGTCAGCCATATTTTCAGAAACGATCAGAACTAATTGCTAAGATTCCAAATTTTTGGGTGACAGCTGTATCCTTTTTGGCAAATTTGTATTTTTTCTCCAGTGTCTATAATTTGAAATTGTGCAATACACGTTTTTTCCTTTCTAGAATATATAAATAAATAAAACAATTGCTTTTTTGTATAAGTAACTTTCATTTTCAATTTTGTTTTTAGTAAAACTATCAAATCATTGTTTTTGTGGGGAGAGGGAAATTACCATTACATTTTTTTTTCCTTAACTTAATTAAGTTTGTCAATCACCCACAAGTTTCTGCTCTTTTGAATGAAGAAGATGAAGAAGCCTTACAGTATCTCACAAAGGTGGAGGTTCAAGAGTTTGAAGATATAAAGTCTGGCTACCGGATAAACTTTGTACGTATCAAATTTTAGTAAGGGAGAAATGTTTCTATACCAAAAATACACTACTTAACATTAATTGTAAGTATGAAAAATTATAGTGTAAGGTGTAATTTTCTCAGCATTTTTTTCTATGAAAAAAAAAATTAGTTTGGTAAAATTTTGAGAAATGCACAATGTTTACTGTAACAAGTTAAACATTGGTTTTGATATTAATGACTATAATAACAGAAACGTTCTCTACTGCTTTTCAGGCTGTATAATTATAGCATCTATAAATGTAGCATATGTTACTTTGGCCCTTTACTACACCATGAAATTTTATTTGCTTAGGAAAAAATGATTGACTTTAATCAAAGGTATTGCAAGTGGGCATTTGAATGTTTATACTAAAATATTTCATTGAACTCATTAATGCCTAAAATGTTCCAGTTTGAATATAGAAATTACGTGTGCATTGTATATGTTTTGTCAAAGTTTAGTTTAATATTGTAAAGGGGAGATAACTCAAATTTGACTTATAAATGTAGAAGGCTGTAACTTCAAATTCTTAATTGTAAAATTTACGATAGAAACGATTGGTAAATTTATATCATTTTTAATTGTAGTGTTTTGACAGCAATAATCCTTACTTTGAAAATGATGTAATTTCCAAAGAATTTCACCTCAATGATACGGGAGAGCCTTCATCCAAATCAACACCAATCAAATGGAAGCCAGGAAAAGTAAGTTATGGTTGTTTTTTATATATATATATATATATATTGGAATTTATTTAAAATTTAACCTTAGTGTAACTAATTGAATACTTGTCCCATATTTGACAAAATAGTGAGCAGATAAAATATAAATAAATTGCTTATTTATAAACCCTGATTTAAAATATAAATTTCTTTTTCTTCGTAAGGACCTGACGAAAAAGTCCAGTCAACCAGGCAAAGGAGGCCGCAAGAGAAATCATGAGGAACAAGAATCCTTCTTCTGTTGGTTCACTGACCATGGTGATGCTGGAGCTGATGAATTAGGGGAGGTGATCAAGGATGATATTTGGCCAAACCCTCTCCAATATTATTTGGTACGTCTTTTTCTTTTTGCTTAGTTTTGTTTTAGTCTTCAAATTTTCTCCAGTTGACAAAGTTTTAAAAAAATGCTACAGTAAATTCATTGTGAATTCTGAGAATTTTTTTTTTTTTTTTTTTTTTTTCTGTAATTATGGTTAAATTATACCCACGTAAATTCTCTTAAAACTATCAAGTAAATCCTACAGGTGCTTTTGTGCTGAAAAGAATTTAGAATGATAGATGAAATAAAAACCACTGTTGGCAAATTTGATTGTTGCTGGAAGAGTCTGGTTTTATGGAGTAGTACCTTTTTTTTTTTTGTTTCTGACAAAGTAACCTCAAAAAAAAATTAATGGGTACTGTTAATTAGGACTAATAGCTGACATTTTAAATAATTTGACATTAGTTGTTGGGTATTGCTTTTTGGCAGTTACTTTTGTATAATCATACAAAAGTCATTAAACTTTTGACCAAATGTTCTATTTAGTTGTGTGCTTTCAAAACGGTCTTCAATATATATATATATATATATATATATATATATATATATATATATATATATATATATATATATATATATATATATATTATATAAATAAATTTAAAGCCTTTTTGTTTCCCTGTACTTTAATAAATCTGGTGTCGGAACTTAATCTACATGCTTTTGGACCCTATTAACTATTCAGTCGTCATGTCCATGTTCAAAATGTTTATTTTTCCTTTTCAAGGATGTGGATGACGACTTCAATGAGGTGAGTGTTCTTTCTTGTGTGGAATTACCAGCTGTTCAGTTAAAACATTTTTATTAGGTGACAGTTTTCTCAAAGCTGCTTTTATTTTTGTAAAGATTCTTTCTCTTGGCCTATCCCCCACCCCCGATGACTAAAATTTTATGACATGTAAAATTTGTCATTTTAAGAGCATCCAGTTTCCATAAACTCATTTTTTTTTCCTAAATTTGTAATCTAAGGGGGGAGGGGTTGCTTGTATTAATTTAATTGTTTCTTTTCGTTGTTTGAAGCCCCTTTTCCTTATAAGATGTATTCAGGTGTCTTCTGTAAGGATGCTTAAGTAACTTGGTTTATAAGAAACAATTTTCCTTTCTCCTGATTTATAATGGAGACATTTGGCTATATTTTTTCTTTTTAAAACCATGTTTACCCAAAAGAGTTCTTTGATTGCATTTTTTTTTTTTTTTTTTTTCACATTTGTCAACTGGTGAAAACTTGAATGTATGTATTTGTCTTTGCCATAGAAAATACATATGCTAGTTGTCTCTGCTTGTAATTGATTTAAAATTTTAAATATATTACAGGCAAATTGAGGAAATCTTGATAATTACCAATAGCAAAATGTAAACTTTTATCAGTTGGTTCTTACTAAAACGGACTTAAGTAATTTTCTTAGACTCAACAGTTAAATATTTGTAATTTTTGACCACTGAACACTATCCTTCCTGTATTAAATGTACAGTTAATGTAGTTTTTCTCCTAAAACATTTCATTTCATCCATCCTTTTGTTTTGCATGTTTACTTTCTTCTTCTGTGGTGTAAATAACTATCAGAACTTATTACTAATATACTGTGGTCACTTTTTAAAAAGTTAACTTTACTAATTTAGTTTTTCAGTTAGGATTATATATTATTTGATTTGAAATAATCAACTAGCAGTTTTGAATATTTAGTTTACTGTACCAAAAGTTGTTGCTGTTTTTCAGTGTATTGAAACATTTTCTGGATTTTTTTTTTTTTTTTTTTTTTTTTTTTTTTTTTGTAGGCATCTGAAGTTGAAGAGGAAGAAGGTGGTGCTGGTGAAGGTAACTATTTTAATTTCATTGATCATTAACCTTAAATTTCAGAGTTAATCAAAACATGCTAATGCAATATAATACTAAAGATATGGGATAAAATACAATTTTTTTTTTTTTTTTTTTTTTTTAAAAAAATTAAATTGCTAAGAATATAAAATATCTTAAATATATTACAAGTAAAATGTTCTTCTTGTAGATGAAGAACTTGATGAAGAGGGTCTTGAAGATGAGGAAGGTGAAGAAGCTGAAGATTTTGATGAAGAAGTAAGTTAAATGCATTTTGTAAAAATGTTTCCCAGTATAAGTATTTTTGTTATTTTATGAAATGGTTTTGTTTAATTTTCTATTGATTTTAAAGTTGCATTTTCAAAGATTTACAAGGAATGTTTCTGTATTGAAATTTTCAGTTATATTTCGCTTGTTAAAACTGCATACCAAATTTCTAATATTATGTTTTCATTTAGGATGTCGGTGAGGAAGGTGAAGAAGGTGAGGGTGAAGGGGGTGATGAGGAAGAGGAAGAAGAAGGCTAAGAGGAAAGTCCACAACATCACCACTACCACCAGCCACCACCAACAAAAACTAGTACTTTTGCAGTACTAACAGTGTAGTATTGACAGTTGCTAGTTTGTTACCAACCTCACAAAGTGGTTCAGTATCGACATTCCTTCTATGTTGACCCACTGCAGCCTCTGTCTGTTGTAGTTTACAAGACAAAAGTAATGTCTTATCATCTGTCAAAACAATTTTTCCCCTATTTTCTCTCTCTCTCTCTCTCTCTCTCTCTTTCTACCCCCACCCTTCTTGATTTATTTTTTTTTTTTTTTTCTCTAAAATTTGTCATCAATAAATTGTCCATCACTTTACTTGGGCACCATTTTTAGCGTTGCTTTGTACTTCTGCTAAAAAAAAAAAAAAAAAAAAAAAAAACCTTCTCCAAACACGTTTTGACTTCTTCACAAAAAGAAAAATCATTGATTCATCATAACATTGACAGTATAGGATTTCTTAATAAAGGACGAAAAGACACTTTTTTGAGGCTTTTTCTTTTTCATTTCAGTACTTTATGCACTTGAATTTTGTTCATTTTGTATTAGTCCATATTCACCCAGCAGAATCTAATTCATTTTATCTTCTACTTCATAACACAATTTTGCAGCTTGGGGATTTTTCCAAACTATTTAAAATGTAAAGCATAATATGGCGGGGGACTTCCAAAATATCCTTCTGGAATTCTATATATGTAATCATCTGACATGAGGACATTTGTGACTTATGGGATTTTACTAGTGTGTATAGTATTTTAAAATGTGAATTATTTATTCCAGTTCATTTTTATGCCAGCTAGATTCACAACCTTAAATGATTGCTCTTGCATGAAATAACTAGTCTAATTCTCCTATTTACATACAATTTTACTTCCAAAGTGGCTTCTAAGAAAAATGAAAGCTAAAACATCTTGATCTGTAGTAGCATTTTGCAATTAGAGCCTATATAAATATGCATGCTGCTTCTTTTCCTCTCCTCGCTCTTGTAAAAGCAGTTTGTTGCATATTTGGTCTGTTAGGGTATGGAATTAACCCCAATTACCTGAGTGATCTAGATTCAAGTAAAAAGTATGAAACTAACTTAATTTTCTCACCCAGTTTTAATCTTGTGGGATGGCTTTGATGGTTGAGCATTTTTGGTACATATTACTATTAGGACTGATAGCACTGAACATTTAAGGCAATTTGAACAGAATTTTCCCCACTCAGAACTTTTTTTTTTTTTTTTTTTTTAAGCCTTTGCAAGTTACATGACTTGAATTTTTAAGTCAGTGATTGATTTGCCATATATGTGAGCCAATTTGTGAAGGTAAGCTGTATTTTTATACATGTGTGGCATTATTAGTTAATGTAATAAACTTGACTTAAACAACAGAATTATTGGCACAAACTAAAGTTGTGATTTTGTCTTTATACGTTTTATTTTTATCGTTTAGCAAGTGAAGCTAATTGTCCTTATAATAATTAGAACTTTTAACTAAAATAGTTTTACTTTTTTTTTTTTTTTTTTTTTTTTTTTTTTTCTCAAAAAAATATCAAGTTTGAACAGTTTGTAATCTACATAGTTAAAATATTTGGCATAAAGTAAGACTAAAAGTTGCTGTATGGAGGACAAACTAACTGCTTACACGAGTAAAAATGTTTTTAAAACTTAAGTGAACTGGATTATATTAATTTTCTGAATTACAAGGAAAAATTAAACGAACATGGGTTTTGACACCTAGAATGTAAACAAATTCTGCATTGTTCTGATTTTTTTTAGATTGGACCTGCTTAACAAGTCTGAGTTAAATAGATAAGCTATTTACATTTCTAATTTATATTAAGTTAAGGTAGAGGTGGGAATTGAATTATGGGTTAATGACTATCCTTAAGCTTGAACTATTGTCTGAAGCAATGTTTATAAAAACATTGTTCAACAGTTAGCCTGGAATAGGAAATTAGTGACTTCCCAGTTTAATTTGAGGCTCTTCAATCTTTCTAGCAATGGTTTTTCTAAAAAAAAAAAAAAATATGCTGTAAGTATTTATGCATGAGTTGTCCTTTTTGGCATTTGCTAAAAACTTGTTCTTTACATAGAGTTCACCCCCCCCCCCCCAATAAGATGTAAGATATACATGCTCGTGTGTGGTATTTTCAGTATTTCAAGTTTCTGAAAATGCTTTGCTATTCCTGTGCACATTTTTATTTAAGAATTTTTTTTGATAGGGATCAGTTTTTTCAAAATGTAACTGCTGTTTACAGAAATTTCTGGGATCCTCATTTCAACATATTTGCCATTTGAATTAAATGGACTGCAGTTCCCAGTGAGGCACAGCTCTGGCATAACCATTTAACAAAATTTTGAAGATGTTTTTACCATAGCTAACTTGATTGTTCTAGTGTTGATTACTCCAAAACCTTTCCATATTATTTGTGTACCCAGAAGCCCTGTCAAATTAGAGACCACAGTATTTTACAGTAATTGATACGGTTTCATGTGAAAATAATTCCCCCACCCCCACCATGTTAAATGTGCAGCCATTTTTTATTTTTATATACATTGTTAGAGATGCAACCAATGTAATTTTCATTTCAATGCAAGGCAAGGTCTTTTCTGTCATTAAATTTTTGCAAGTATCAAATGTCTAATAACTGACACCAAGTATTGCTTCTTGAGGTTTTGCTTTTTCATGACTTACTGTGTTTATCAGCTGAAATTTTGAAGCCATTGATTTCTAACAAGCTGGTATAACAGTTACCTTCATTTTATCTATTAGGAATATATAATTTCACACATTCTGTCTAGCTGGCATTTTTTAATGGGGTCTTGCAGCTAGGGTTATGTGGACTTTGATGACTTCTGTATGTCTCGTTTTGGGCTGGACTTTGAGTTTTATACACTTTTTCATAAAAACATCACATCCAGAATTATATTTATTTATTCCGAACTGGGCCTAAAAGGCCATATACTATGTCTTCTACATCTGCACAATATTTTGAATAAATATTTTAGTAGACACTACTAATTTCAATAAAATGCATTAAACATATTCAACACAACTATTACCCATAACTCATGTCTATCTCAATTTTTATTTTAATTACCCCCCAAAAAAAAAAAAAAACTTGAAGAATATGAATGAGTGGTTATTTTGCACACTTCACCTCAATTGTCACTCAAAAAATGTATGCATGTATATATAATATAACCACTAATCAAACTCGTTCAAAACATTGGAGCCGATGTTATGAAAAAGTGTATACAACTCATTCCGCCCCAAAATATGAGAAACAGAAGTTAGCAAGATCTATGTCACCATAGCTGCTTTCCAAGACCCTATTCACGTCCACACAAAACTAGACTACTTTCTTTCTGGTTGCACACTTTTGTGTGTGTGTGCGTGCATATATATATATATATATATATATATATATATATATTTTTTTTTTCTTTCTTTCTCCACAGTTGAGAAGTCAAGATGAAGTTTAAATCTACAAATTCTAAGTTCAGGATTGTTCCATGTGATAATATCTAAGAGTATTAAGCATTGGTTAGTGATTTTGGTAGCATAATAATTGAGTTCAATCCCTGGGTTGGATAGTACAGCTACACATACATGATACAGTATCTCTAGACAGTCAAATTATAGATTTCATTTGGATCAGAAGGTCAGGTTACATGATTATAACAAAGATGTGAACATTAGTCCAAGTGTAAATAATGTAAGTAAAGTCTATTTCAGTTCAAATTTTAAATGTCTAAATTGATTACATATTACCTTAGTTAACATATTCATATCTTAACCACGTTTCAGTAAAACTTGGTCAATTGTGAAATATTCTGTTTTAATTATTAATCGAGAAGAAAGCATTTGAATTATACCAAATGGGATTTAAATTAAAGGGAAATAATTATAACTGCATGCATTTTAATTTGGGTAATCGTGTAGCATCATAGTTTGTCATGTTTTAAGCTATATTATAGTTATTGTAACCTAGAAAGGGCTACTGAATGAGGAATAATCAAAACGGAGGTTTGAAATGAAATGCTAATCTTTATAACATCAACAAAATACAATACTTGCCAGCGGCGTGAAGTAGGTAAACCACTACTAGTTGCAGACTACTTAGACAGCATATTACCCCTACTTACAATAGTGTCCAACGTATTTATAAGGATTGGGACATACTCATTGGTGTTCGTAGGTATGGTATATAAGTTATAAAGCAAATTATTCTTGTTACCATGCTAAAATAAATTTATTTAAAACTTTGCTTTTTATAAATGAGTATTAAGAAATTTTTTGTTCATTTATAAAATTATCAATTTATCTAATAGCTCATTTTTAATATTTCTGAAAAGTAAAACTAGTTTACAATAGAAATATAATTAGATTTGTTCATCAAAGTATAATACTTGCTTCAGATCTGATCAGCAATTGCCCTAATGGTGCTATTTAGGCAGTTAATTTAACCTGAATCATGAAAATTTTATTTTGTGGCAGTATAGAGTAAATATGATTCATTAATGAAAAAAATAGCATATATTGTATGTTAGAAGCAGTGAAAATTGAGTAATTTTAGTTTATTATATGAGAATTAACATTCACTCTGAATATATCTGCCAAGATTTTCAAAAATTTATGTTATGTTGCAGGCCAAAACACAAAAGTACATATTGTTTAGACATCAAGCTGATGTAATAAAAAAAAAAAAATTAAATGTTTGTTCTGAAGAACTTAATCCATGAAAATATGACAACAGAAAATCATTTAAAATCATACTGTAAAATATTTAAAAAAGAAAATCTATCAGTATGTGATATTTAGTATATTTTTATTAATGTACTACAAGAAAAGATTGGAAGAGGTCCAAGGAGTAAGGTGGATGGCACAGTGTCTCCCAGCCAAGTCGCTGTATGGTATCCCTGACCAGCTGCACCACATGAGGCCTGGCGATTAACAAATGCTGGCTCATTCTGCTTCGGGGTCTGTTGCACATGTTCCAAGTGCTGTGAGTATAGATCTTCATTGATGGTTTGACCTGTTGGTAGCATCTCGTAGTGCACCACTTGATGACTAGTCCACCAGATACAGAGCATGATCTTGTGTGGGTGTAGAGGTGATACAGTGTCCTATGGTGACAACCTATGTCTGACTCACTTAGGAGCCTCATACGGAACCCACTTTCACACACTGGTGAGCACTTGATTGAATATGGGTACATTGCAATGCTGAGAAACATTCCAAGATTGGTATCTGATTGTGTGGAGTACCCA